TTTGGGAGAAAAATTGTTAATAGTTGCAGAGTTGTAATAATACAGTTGTGTATATTTTGCATTTGGAAATTCCATATGCTATATGGTAAAAATAAGCAAAATGAAATGGTGCAGTCAGGGAGAGGTCAGGACAAGGCCAAGGTGACAAGGAAGTTCCTTGGCAGCTCCCTCTGAAACTTTCAGCCATGTAAGCCTTCTAGTGTCCTCCATGTGGGGTGAAATTTTCAGATGTGAATAGGACTCTGTGAACTTTTTTGCTGCTGTATTGAAACCAAATCAGATTTCAATCTAAACTAATAAAGTCCAGGGTTACCCTTGGGATTCCCTGGAACTGCTGAGGAGTTTTAAAGCCTCAGTGTGAAGGAAAAGCTGATGCATCTGTCAGCAGGAGAAAACACAGTGTTTTCCTCAGTGACTCCAGATGACAAATTACTCTCCTGAAGATACTGATGGAGTAGACCATGATCATGGTCTTTTTAGCAGAAAAAAACTCCATGTTCAATTTATTGTCTTCCTTATGAACAGCCATTGAGAAAAAAGATGCTGAATCCTACAGACCTTCCAAGAAAAAAAAGACTAAAACAAGACTAAAATGATAAACTGATAATTATATTTAAGAAGAAGGAGAAGAGACAAACAAAGGCTTTATTTTAAAGAGCAGGAGATTGACCAAAACAAGGCTATGTTTAGAGATGGCTACTAGGTTTGAACATACGCTTGAATAAGGTTTTCCTTGATTAATATAGAAGAAAAGGTGGCTAACAAGAAAGCCCACCCTACATATAGGCAATGTAGAAGATAAATCTCTGTATTAAGTGAACTAAGGCAAAACAGTGAAAGAAGCAGAGCAAAGAGGGAGGAAATCCCTCTTTTCTGAAAACTTTACAAAGTTTTTCTGACAGTGGTAAGCTCAGGTAAAGCCTTGAGAAGGATTAAAATCAGGCTCTAGTCTTGAGCAAGGCCTGGGAACCCATCACTGGTTACTTGGAAGAAAAGGAGAGTGAAGGCCAAAAGAAAGGCATACAATGGAGAAGATTGTATCTTGGAGCCTGCTGAATGACAGGTTCCAAGGTACATCTGTATACCTGTGACAGAACACATATAGCCATATACACATTTTTGTATGGTGTGCTGTTGTCATTTTAAGTTCTCCACTGGATTTTGTGTGCACGTACACTGTTTAAACAGACTGTACAGCATTCAGGAGTTCCACCATTGTAGCACGTGACATTCTGGGCTTTCTCAGATACAAGTAGAGCTGGTATTCTTCTGTGTGGACACAACAACTTGAAAGCTATTCCTATTACTGGTTGAGTAACATTTTACAAAGATGGATGTTATTTTATGACCAGACATATTCCATTCACCACTCTTGTTAAATATGCATTGCCTTGCTATGTCACTTCTTCAACAATGTGTAGTTTTCTTTTATTGCTTTGGAAACTTGGAAACTTACCGCTTTTGGATGATGGCCTCATTTTATCATTTGGGATATGGAATTCTTTTTAATTAACATGCACTTTTTCTCTTTCTCAAATAGACTCTTAACAATTGTTGCCTTTTGAAAAGCTGTGATTTATTGCACAGTAAAAACCAATAGAGTTTAGGTCATGATTAACTGAAAAAGCAAATCAGTGGTTAAATGAACACCTAGTATTTGAAAAAGCCATAGAGGTGCTACAAAAAATACATCATATCTATTCCTCCAGTATTTTCTGGTGCAAATATCCCATTCTAGTATTTGTAAAATGAGTGTTTCCTGTTAACTGCCTCTGAAGTGATTCCACAACACAGTCTATATCTGCAAAAATCCAAAAACTTTCTGTTTGTCAGAAGAATAATGAACAAAGCTGGATAAAGTGAGGCAGAGGTATAAGATAGAAACATAAAAGCTGTTGTATGACATGCAATGACAACATAAAAGTGGCAAATAGTTGTTTCCGAGTTTTCTCCTCTCTTGTTCCTTCACCTCTGTCATTTAGGTAACTTATAACTCATTTCTTGTTTCAGTTCTGAAAGACAGAAGACTATATGAACACATAAGCAATATCCATATATAATGCTTTGTCTTCCAAGTCTTCCTTGTAGGAGAACAGTATAAATATCTTGCAGCATACAAAAATCTCTTGTTCAAACAGTGATAGCAAAATGCTTCTTTCATCTCTTGGAAAGCCTCTAAATTTTAAAACTACTCATCATGCTGAATTCGTTAGGATTTTTTTACTCTGTTTGCATGGTTTTAGAATTATGTATAGTAGGTGGCAGGGAGAACATCAAGTATTGGAGAGGAAAGATTAACTTCTTTCATGTAAAGGACATTTAATCACAACTGTGCCTAATAAAATGCTCTAGATTCAAGAATTGATTTTTATGGGTCATGTAAGGTTTGAGAGTTAGGTTCAGTTTCTTTAATTTAAAATTCTAATTTTATTTTATCGTTTTGAGGAAGGAGGTGAGATACTTCATCCACCTGTTCTTTATGTGAACTATGCATGTGAATGTTTGAAACCTGGTCTCATTTTTCCTGAAAATGCTTGGTGGTTGAAAACATGTAATGCTGAGATGAGTGAGTTGATGGTCACAATCTTTGCAATGTACTCTCAACTCTGATTTCAGAGGCACAGGAGAGCACTCATCAGATTGTGTGATTCACCCGTGTATCAGGGAGGGGAGCATGAAACAGTGATAATGTAAGTTTATCTTATTTTACTGTATATCACAGTAACAGGTCTTAGAAAAGATAAGTCACAGGCACATTAGTGAAAGGTGTCCCTGTGAAGGAAAACAACCCATGAGGTAGAATTCAGAGTATGTAGCTAAATCTGCTTTAGTAAATACAATGTTTGGATAACCCATTTGGCTATATATGTGAAACTGAGGTGTTCATGTATTAAATGCATGGATTTTTTTCTAGTGCTTACTCTGTATATCATAGAATTCTCTTGGGTTTTCTGTGTCATATGTGAGTGTTGCACTATATACTATTTATTGATCCTAAATTATAAACTTAAACAATAGATAGTATGTGCATTTTATTTTCATGGTGCTGTGGTCCATGCAGTAATCAAAGAACATTCATTGCAGTTGCTATTCCATTAAAGCTGTCATACATATTTTATTCTGATATTTTTCCCCTCACTGCAGTCCAACTTGGGGGTAAAAACAAACTCACAGACTACACTCAAACGCAAACTTTTCAAGTGGTATCAGTTTAGCCTTTAAGATTATAATCAGACTTACTCTGAGTATCCTATATTAAAGCAGAGAAGTGAAGATCTGTGCATATACTACAGGAAGCAAGTGCATTGATTCAGTAACCAGCTCGATTCTAGGAAGAGGTCATTGCTCTTGCAAGCAGACTCTCAGCAGTAATGGTGTACTGATAACTTTCTAGGAGATTATTACAGGTATTCTGTCCTAGTATTAGGGAGAAGTGGTACTGAGGGGCATGTTTTGCCTTATCATTATCAGAAGTGTGCCAAGTGTCTGAGGCTGACCAGAGATGCTGACAAAGGCCATTTCTGCCTCCTCAGACTGTTACACTAAAAATGCTCAATCAGCCACAGGAGCCCAAAGATGAACACAGAAGAAACTGCGAGAGCATCGTAAGGCTTCCCAACACACCCAAATATTCATTTATCATATCTGTAATTCATCGTTTGTTTTGGGCACTTTGCCAGCATACAAACTTCCAACAACTTCTCTCCAGAGATCTGACTGCCCTTTTTCTTTTATAGTGCTGAAGTGACTATGTTACGATCAATATGAAAAATGCGAGGCCAGAAAACTAGCCAGTGAGACCTTAGTTCTGCAAATAATCATTCGTGTAAATCTGGAGAGAAGACAAAAACTAACAAAAAAATCCAACCCAAATCTTGACTTCTAATCTGAATCTTCATCTCAAGATCTAATTGTTGAGGGACTGGCAGCGTCCCAGCTAATCAATAATGAGATTTAGAGTCTCCTACTGCCAGTCACTGGGTTGGCCGCAGACTGCTGGGGCACAGCTCTGCTCTGAGCTTAGTGAAGTTGCTTGAGATTTATCAGTTTAACTGAGATGGGGAATGGGCTCTGTGCTGGCAGCAAAATGGAGTTGTTACTACAAGGAGCTGTTAGAGAGGTAATAACCTTCTCATACCCGAGTGGACAAGTTTCCCTATCTTTTTCACACATACACATCATCAAAGTTGGTACAAGTTTGCTGCCTTCAAAGTCTGTGCAGAAAGTTGAAGGCTAGCACAGGGACAGCATAAGAAATACTTGCCCTCCTAGTTGCTTCAGGTCAAGATTCAGGAGACCTGGTAGGCAGTAAGGATGCCTTGTCCTACCGCTGCCTTTGCTGCTGTTGTTCTGTGGATGGGGAATATTTCAACAAGCCTGGCAGCTTTTATGAACACTAAAATGATCTTTAAAAGTGGATGTAAAACCCCTTTATTGTTTGGTTGTTTTTCCAAAGTCGTACACAAATCCTTCAGGAAACTGTACTGTTTGGCCTCGTAGAAGTAGCTCTGACATTAGTCTCAGGATGTTTATTAACTAAAATCAAGCCTTCTAAAGAAATTCAGTTTTCACCTCCGTACCCTTTTTTCTTAGATAAAGGAACGCTTGGTCTCTCTGGTGTGACTTTTGGTCTACCTCAGCAGCCCATTCTCTGGCAGCCTGTCTGATGATCCTCCCCAGATGTAACCAGCTCCGCGGAAGGGAGACACGGGGCTGCTCTCCCATAGCCGGGGAGCTGCCTGGGACCCTGGGGCAACAGCTGGGGAGGGGGGCTTCCCCGGGAAGGAGGGCGGGAGGGGGGGCGGCGCAGGAGGGCGCAGCTCCCCAGCACCAATCGCCTCTCGCAAGTCCCCGCAGTAGCGTCGGACCTGCCGCGATATCCACGGGCAGCCGAGCCAGGGGCAGAGGCGGCCACTGCCGGCGAGGGCAGCTCCGGGGAGCAGGGCGGCCTCGGGGCTTCCTCCTCCTCCTCCTCCTCCTCCTCCTTCTCCTCCTCCTCCTTCTCTTCCTCCTCTACCGCGCAGCCCCACGCAGCCCCCCCAGCCCGGCCTCCCTACGCAGCCAGAGGCAGGAGCGAGCGGCAGCTCCCTCCGCGGCAGCGGAACAGGGGGCGCGGTGATGTGAGGAGCGCACCCGGCGGAGGAGGGAAGTCCCGTCGCCAGGAAGGCAGCCGGGAGCTCCTCCGCGCTGCAAGGTAACCGGACCTCTCCTTCGCGGACTTTTCCCTCTGTTTTTTTCATTTTCCTTTCTCCCCCCCCCTTTTTCTTTTCTCTTTATTTTTGTTTCTTTTATTTATTTCTTCTTTTTTCCTTTCTTTTTATCTTTTTTTTTTTTAATTTCTTTCTTCTCCTTTACTTTTTCTTCTTTTTATTCTTTTTCTTCTGAGGGTTTTGGATTTTTTATTTTTTTAAATTTTAGTTGTTCCTTTTATTATTTTTTTTTCTCCTTTCCCCGACTCCCTAGCTGTCCAGCCACAGTCAGAGGGCGAGGAGGAGGCGGTAGGGAACGGAGCGAGCCCACACCGGGTCGCTCTGGAGTTTGCCTGGGACAGTCTTCTCCCGCTCTCTGCAGGTGCACTGCCAGGCGGGCAGAGCCGGGCAGGGCAGGGCAGAGAAGGGCACGGATCGTCCCGGCGGCGCGGCTGCCCGTCGGGAGCCGGGAGCAGGTCGAAGAGACGGAAAGGGGGCAAAAGGAGATGCCCAGGGCACGGAGCGGCTCCCTCCAACTTTCCTGGGGCGGAGAAGCCGGGGAGCAGCCTCGGGGATTTCCGCAGAACGAGAAAACCCTATGGAAAAAGCTGTGCATGTGTGGATGTTGTGCAGCAGGAGATGGAAACTATCCGCCCCCTCACCGTGGCTCCCGAGGAAGAAGCGCCCCCCGCCCCCCACTCCGGGGGTGTCCGGGGGCTCCGGGGCTCGTCGGGCGCTGCGGGAGCGGCGCGGAGGGGTGCGGGGTAAATGGTGCATGTTAAAAGATACGGAAGGAAGAGACCCAGTGGCTGGGACATAAATCAGGCAGAATATATGGGGAGTTGATGAGAATAGGTCTTTTCACCCTTAAAAAAAAATAGCTACTTCGGAAGAAAAAGAGGAGGCTGATTATTGGCATCCAGCTCTGAAACCCAGGCAGCTGATGCTGAAGGGAGCCAAAGGGAGCAGTTCTTCTTGGTTTAAAAACAGCAAGACAGTCTCTGCCAAAGATTGCTGTAAACACTGAATAAAGATTTCATTGTGGCATGGTGTGACTGGAATAATTAGGCAGTTAATTGTTCATTCTGATCTTAAAGTGCAGTAATCAGTCGTGCACAGTAGGAAAAATACGGGGGAAAGGGAGGAAGAATAGCAATAGGAAAACGATCGGAAAATGTATCACTTTTTCCTATTCTGCAGGGTTTTGGTTTTTTTTTTTTTTTTTTAGGTGGGTTGCTTTTGTGTATGTGTGTGTGTGTGTGTGTGTGTGTGTGTGTGTGTGTGTGTGTG